GATGTTTTTTTTTTTTTTTTTATTTGGGTGTATATAGAATTGGGAATCGGTTGGGGCTTTGATTTTGGGGAATTGGATTCTGAAAAGAAGAGTCGAAAAACAGAGCAAACTCTGCCAATCAACTAAGTTCAATGTCACATCCTATTAGAATTTAGAGAGAGAGAGAGAGAGAGAGGACGTGACGTGGCACGAATTAATACCTTTGTAAATATTATTATTATTATTTAGGACTCCAATTTCATTATTTAAACAAATATTAATTAAATGATTGTTAAATATTTTGAACTTTTTAACATTTAATTTAAAGCTTTTGCCAAACCTGATTTTTGCTTATTGGTTTTTTGAAAAAAAAAAATGAAAAGAGAGAAGATATTTATATGTTTGGAAAATAATTGTTTATTTATTTATTTATTTTTGAAATATCTGAAGAAAAAAACAAATATTTGACCAATAAAATACAATACTTTTTATAAGAAGGATTTTCCACAAAAGTTGGTTTCAAATAATTAATATGTTTTCTTACCTTTTAAGTATTTTATGTTGTGGAAACAAATTTATTAAAAAAAAAAAATCTCTCCTACTTTTATTCTATTGTACTATTTTATTTATCCATTTAAAATTCTCCAACCCAAAAAATTCAACTTAATCACAACTCATTAGATGAATGGAACCTTCCACAATAGTATGCTTTCCTGACTTTGCTTAGACCTCACACCAATTGAGAGAGTACTCTTGATTATAAACCCATGATCGTTCTCTAAATTATCCGATGTGGGACTTTCATCTAACAAACTCAAGAGAATGGGTCAAATGATGAGATGATACAACCATAAATCACTTTTTATTAAGAATTTAGTGTCATAATTATCCATAGAATATAAAGTATAAATCATACTTATCTAAAAAAAATAAAATAAAACACAAAAAATAAAAATAGGCATCACTCTCTTAATATATCGCTATTATTATTATTATTATTATTATTATTATTATTGTTATTAATTTAATAAAGAAAAGCATATTATATTCTTTTTCTTTTAAAAGTGTTAGTTTATGGTGAGAATAATGAGCACTCAAGAGATAAACATGCTTTCTTTTTCTCAACTTTATTTTTTTTATTTCTTTATTTTATTTATTTTTATTTTGTGATAATTGCTTTAATGTTGATGTAATTATCCAAGATGGTCTATTTATTTTTCATTCCCCTTTATCAATTATTGACTTCACTTTTTCAGTTTTCGAATTTTATTTTTTAAGTCTTTCTTTATTCAATTTTATAACTAAAAATAAAACAAATTATTTTCTTTTCAAAAACTAATATTCCCACTAAAATTCTTTTAGAATAACTTTTCAACTATTTAAAATAATATTTATTTAGCCTTTAAATTTGAAAAAGTTTTGATTATGCCTATCAATTTTGACCACTATTTTATTACACAAAATTTTATTTAAAAGTAGTTTTAATTTTCAAATTTTAACAAGTTGGCCCATCAAGCTTTCCTCGTCTTGGGCCTGAGCCCAATCCAAGTTGAGCCATCATACAGATCCATTACTAAGTATTTGGGCTATCAAACTTGGGCCGGAGGAATTTTTTTGGATTATTTTTTTTTAATAATAACTAAAATCTTATAAAATTAAATATCAAATACCTACCCGTCATGTGACTGATATCGGTTACAAAAGTTAAATATTTTTAATCTTCGTCATAATTTTAAAATTTGGGTTGGTTAATAAGTTGGTCGAATTGATTAGAAAAAAAAAAGTAACCCAGGAATTGGTTTTTCAAAAAATCAATCCAACCCAAATTAGAAAAAAAAAAAAATCGAACCCAACTCAATTTTTATAGTTTGGGTTGAGTAGTCGGAGCAGGTCAAATTATCGAGTTATATGAATATCCCTATTTGTTACTTTCTGTCTCCATTTTCAACACGTAAGTCGTATATTTTCTTTCTCGGAAAAAGTAAAATAATTAAGGAGAAAAAGTATTAGTTGAAATGTAGGTTGAAGAGATAAAATTAAAGAAGTTAAAAAAAATTAATGAAATTGCATGTTTTCACCTAAATAAAATTGCTATAAATTGTTAGGAAAAAAAAGTAGGAGGCATTATTTAAATTCCATCTACAATTTCACCCAATTATCTTATATTTCTAAAATAAAATAAAATGGGGATGAATATACCCAAAAGTAGTTGAACCACCAAAATTAATTCATTTTCTTTTATTTTAAAAACTTTATTTCTTATTTTATTTTAAGTTTTTCTTTTAATTTCAAATATATATAATTTTAATTTTTTTAAAAAATAATTATGTCTAAATTTATCTCACATGGGTATAGGATAAATATAGCAATAATTTTAAACTAAATTATTATGGTATAGAAAAAATAAATATTTTTAAGTTTCCTTATTTGATCATATATTTATTAGGTGGAGAGATATATATAATTTTGTAATTAATATTACTTAATTTAGATATTGTATATAATGGTTTTAAAATTAAAAATATGGAATAGGGTGTAATAAATTTTTAAAATTTTATTACTATTAATAATGAAGAAAGAGAAAAATAAATGAAGGATAAAACCAAGCCATATTTAATACAATAAAGATATGAAAACCACATGAAAACAACATTCCATCAACTTTCACCTTCAAATATTTGTTGAAGGGAAAAATGAATAAAAAGCGTGTATGTTGTTTATATACTAACAATAAACATATTTTTAAACGTTAAAAAAAAATTAAATATCTTTTTAAAGTTTAAAAAAATAAAACTTTTCCAATTTTTAAAAGTTTAATGTATTCTTTAAATTTTTAAATAAGTTTACGGATCCATATTTTGAAACACTTTTTAAATTTTAATGGTATTTTCGAAATATTTTGAAACTTCAAGACTATTTTAAAAATAAAGTATTAATGAATTTAATTCAAAATGAATGGTAAGTATTTATTGAATTTTTTTTTGTTTAAAGTTCAAGAATATTTTTGAAATAAAGTACGAATTTCAAAGATATATCTTCATCAATTTAGCCCGTAAAAAGTGATTATATAAATGGTTTTAACCACATCTTTCGAGATGAACCAAATGGTAACAATGACGTTAATCTTGTATAAAGTCATAAAGAATATCTTCTAATTTATACACATTAGTGGGTTTTTTTTTTATCAGAAGTTCAAAGTTAAAAATGAAACGCTTTAGAGCGAGGATGATGTTCCTTATCTCTTACCATCGTTCTTCATATTTCTAGTCGAATCCAAAGAATTCCCCACTCATCTTTTACCATTCATTTTCACAAAGATAGTAAAAAAGATTAGGAAGGTAAGAAAACTAGGGTTTCTAAATAAAGGTTAAAAACATTGGTTTAGTGAAAGCACAATAGCATGTGAGGATTGATTCAATGCTTTTCTTTATATATAACACCTTTGGGTTAGGATAAGAAATACTTTGGTATACTCACAAATACATTGCATTGGTTGTGATTTAGAAATATTAATACCCATAATAGAGTATGTTGATATCAATCTTGTTGTGAGTTTGATTCAATGTAAGTTGACAAAATTGTTAAACTTGATTACGTGCACGTATGTTCTTAATCATAATGCACTTACAAACAATACCAACTTATCTCTACGTGTTTCACTCAGGATCTTATTAACAACCATACATACTTTATGTGTTCATAATGTATTTTCATTACATATGAATTATATATGAAAATCTAATTTCATGTAGACCCGACAAGTAAAAAAGGCTTCATATTTTCGGGAAAAAAGCTTCGAGATATGAATTAGATTTGCTTCACAAAAACTGAGAAATTTTTTTTTTAAAAAAAGGATTTTTAAACTCGAATTTCGAACAGCCACCTGCGTCGTATGACAGGTAAAATTTTGGGAAAAATCCTTTCCTTTTTGGTCGGTTATGAGTGAAGATGTTGGGAATCACGACTCTCCACTATTGTATGATATTGTCCACTTTGAGAATAAGCTCTCATGACTTTGTTTTGGGCTTCTCAAAAGGCCTCGTACCAATAGGGATGTATTCCTTACTTATAAACACATGATTATTCTCTAAATTAGCCCATATGAGACTCCCTCCCAACAATCCTCAACAGAGGAGAGATTTTGTGATGTCCTACATTCGTTGGTTGGAGAGGAGAACAAACCACCATTTATAAGGGTGTGGAAACCTTCCCCTAACAGACGCATTTTAAAGCCTTGCGGGGAAGCCGAAAGGGAAAGTCCAAAGAGGACAATATCTGCTAGCGGTGGATCTGGGTTGTTACAAATTTGAACCTCAATCTCGTGGTTTGTAGACATGTTGTGAGATCTCATATCGATTGGAGAGGAGAACAAAACGTTCATAGGAGTATAGAAACCTCTCCTTAGAAGACATGTTTTAAAAACCTTGAAGGGAAGCCCAAAAAAGAAAGCAGTAGTAGGATTTGACCGTTACACACGTTCTCTAATCCTCTAAGCTATATAGGCCTTGTACTTCGTCTCTACCCTAAAAAAAAGCGTTCTCTAATCCTCTAAGCTATATAGGCCTTGTACTTCGTCTCTACCCTAAAAAAAAGAATTTTTTCCTCTGTCGAAGTCGCACATTAGTTCATTTATCTTGATTGGTATGAGGTTTTTTTTAGGAAAACCATAAGTGAAGCATGAGAGCTTATACTTAAAGTGGGCAATATCATACTATTACAAATGCTCGTTATTTATATTAGAGTCACGTAGACAGTGCTATACGGATAGATGACCCTTTTAAGAAAAAGCACAACCAAATGAATGAATTTACGTGTGAAAAAAAATGAAAGCCCACAATTAATGGTGTGAAAGATGGATGCACATGTGTTGAAATTAAAGGTCATGCATTTATGGGTTTTCCCAGAATCTGTTTTGAAATGGAGAAGAGGAAGAAACCGTGTCGTGGTTTCGTGTCGTAAGCTCATTCGTGTTCGTCCACGCCCATTCATATGGAAACTAAGGCGAAGAAAAGAGAAAGAAAGTTGTTAAGCTCATTCGTTTTCTGTTTTCTGAGTTGGGAAACACAAATGTGTGACAAAAACACCAACCTCTTTACAATGCAACAAAAAAGGGCTTCAAATTTTGATAAGGTTCCTTTTGAAAGGGACACTCCACACAAACCCTAATTCAATTCTCTTATATATTCCAATTTAAATATTAAAACTTTTACAATTATTTTAAATAAAAATAATTTAAAAAGTTTAACTCATTATCCATTGGATAAAGTATTTTGTTATTTTCTCTTAATAACCTAATCAG